TAAGCAAATATCAGAGACCGTTCAGAAGTATCTTTGCAAACATCATTGGCGATAAAGTGCGTCTCTAGTTCCAGACAGTGGGTTGGGTTTTTTTTGTTGTTGGTGGTGGCTTTTTTTTTTTGGTGGTGGTGTTTTTTTTTTTTTGTTTGTTTTTGTTTTTTGTTTGTTTGTTTGTTTGTTTTTGTTTTGTTGTTTTTGTTTGTTTTTGTTTTGGTTTGGGGGGGTTTGTTTGTTTGTTTGGGGGTTTTGTTTGCTTGTTTGTTTTTGGTTTTTGTTTTTTTCTCTTTTTCTTTTTTTTTTATAGTTGGTTGGTTTTCCCTGCTAAAAGCTGGTTTGTGTTATTGATTACAGAAAAGGAAATGTAACTCGGTTCTAATTCTCTTGCTGAGTGTGTGTACACTGAGCCTGTTTCTGTCTCTTGTTTCAGCAGGCAGGGATTTCCATTCTCAGTTGACACATCCACAGAATGTACTGGAATTAAAGGGATCTTGTGGTCTAATCTGCCCTCAGAGGGGCATCACTGTATGCTGAAGCAGGGCTGTTGCACTGAGTCTGATTTGTGAAGGAGCTAAGACCAGGTTCAGCTGTGAATTCATCATGGGTGGAGAGGATTTGCTAAGTGATAAGGTCAGGGAGATGTTTCACTGAATTCCCATAAGAGTGATTTGAAGGACCAACTGAGGCAGGACAAGGGAAGTCTGCAGCTCTGGCAATCCTGATGCCAAGGGCATGTCACTCATGGGGTTTTTTTAAAGCTTGAGAGCTGCTTCTTTCTCTTCTCTGATGGATGCTTAGAGGGAAGGAATAAAAACGAGTTTCTGAAGGCTTCAAGAAAACTGAGCTAATCATCCATTCAGTATAGATGGGGAAATGAGATGCTGCTAATGTCTGGTAAATAGTGAAGATTTGATCCAGTACTTTGTTTCATTGTGAATGAAAAGCTTATATGAGGTCAGGTTATTTGGACTTGATAGAAATAGATGAAGTGGAAGGCAGTCCACAAAGTGGGAATGGTGCATCTCACAGTCTGTGGCATTTGCAGAGGTGACAACCTTTGTATATGGTACAGTCTGGGGACAAGGACTGGGCACACCCAAAGCTCAGAGTCCCCATGTACAGATCTTCCAGCTCTGTCTGTGTCACAGAGCCCTGTGGGACCTGGCAGACTTTTATATCATGCTTCCAGACTAATTCACCCTTGGACTGAGACAAGCATAAAATATTTCACCCAAGAGACTGATCTATCCATAAAGTTATGAACTGTAGAAAAAAGCAGTGTATATAATTAAAGTGTCTTCTGAACCATGTGAAGATCAAACTCAGGCTGGAGCTGACAGAGTGGAAAGCTGTGGCTCAGTAGCAGTGGTTGTCCTGCAGAAGTCCCTTTTCAATATTGGGACCACACGAGCCACAAAAACTATTCTAACCATCACAGCAGCACTTCTGTACAATAATGAGCCTAATAGGTTTTGCATTTTTTAAGCTGTAAAAAGGAAATTAAAAAAAACCCAAAAAAACCCAACAAAACAAAATGGAGAAATGTTTCTCATGGAAAATTATATCCCCTGCACTCCAGTATTATTTCTGCTTTTCTTCCTTCCGTGAACTTTTAAATATAAAAAGCTGTCAGGAAATGCATCTTGAAAGTGCTGGTGTTTTATGATGAAAACTTACATAGGCTGCATAACATACATCAGCATTTCATAGAACTCATTTCACTTGCAAGTTCTTTGAGTTACTTTTTCTCCCTTAATGAGGATTTCTGCCTGATTCAGTGATTAAATTGATAGTGTTTAAGCTTTCCATTCAAGGCTGTACATCTATTAATGTTTGATTGTGCCAAGTCTTCTTCCTCATGCGAATTTTAGATTTAACTTTTTTTTCCCCTTCTTTTCTTCTAATGTCTGTGTGCAAAGAACCCTGAAGCCTTGAAGCCTTGTCTGAAACCGAGCCAGTTTGGCAGCTTTGGCCCACAGGCCTGATAGAGATGCAAATTGTATCGGCCTGAATTATTTTGGTGACATTGTTTGCAGCAATCCCTTGAACTAAACAAGCCCCACGGGAAGCAGAGTGTTTGGATGGGGTAACAGCAGTGCTGGCAAAGCTCAGCACGGGGGCTTTTCCATGGCATTTTCCATGACATGGCTTGGGTGACACCACCCAGCAGAGGCCACTGGGCTGTGGCTCATTTGGGAGATTCATGGCATTGTCATACCAGTCCCTGTGACAAAGTTACTAATTTGAAATAGCAAACAGATTTCCTTTCTTGCCTGCAACAGGACTTAGTGGAAAAATGCTGTCCTATATTAAATTAGGCCCACTGGTTTTACATGTAATGAATATTTTAAACTTATGCTCTGTCCTTACTTGATATCCAATATAATGGTACTTACTTTGTCAAATGCTTTGCTCTTTACCAACAGAGTCTCACCAAGCATTAGATGCTGCTGTTTGGTTTTCATTAAGTTACTTTTCCTGTACCTAGTTTCCCTATCCAGGTTAAGTTTGTAGCTCAAAATATTATGGCTAAAATTCTGGTAATTTTAGGGTCCCCTTACCTCCTTTGGTCTTTATAATGCAAATAGGATGCCAAATAGGGTCAAAAGGGTCATCAGTGTATCATTGCAACTTATCTTTGTATTTTGTACAGTTCTTTTACACAGACTTCTCTGCAGTGGTCCCTGTGTTTGTTTGGGGTTTTTTGTGGATACAGAAGGTTGCTGTTTTCTCTAAGCTGCTCCTTCTCTGCAGTGTCATTTGCACTGGAGGGATGAGGAGCAGCTTTTCAGTGTTTATGGAATGCACATCTATACATGTATAGCCATAGTAAAAAAATAATAATAATGCTGTGGTGGAAAATGTTCCAGTTTTGTCCAACACAAATGAACAGTCCCACTGAATACCAGTAACCACTTTCACTTTTGGTCTTGTGTACAGCAAGGCTGCAATGGGGAAGCATATCCTCTTAGGTTATAAATCTGTGTACTTCTTTTGCCTGTTTGTTAAAACATAAACCTAAGCTAAAACATAAACCTTGCCTTAAACTCAGCCACACCAAATGGTTCCCATCAGAATTTCCTTTGTTTTGCTGTTAGTAGACTCTCACCACGCTGTATGTTTGGATCCTAATAGGCTCCAACTAATCTGACAGACAAAGTTAAATCAGCAAAGTCCCAAAACCTTGTACCTTGCTAAATATGTATTATTCCCTTTATCTTCCCTGTACTTCAGGAAGTAGCTACTGTCCTAAAAGCTACTGATGTTATCTAAACACTTGTCTGGGTTGTGTAAAGAAACTGGCAGATTTAAATATCTCTAGGCATCTCCTAGAGGAGATAAACCTGTTCTCAGAAACCAAATTATTAAGATGACTTTCTGTGTCTGTTAAAAAGGGCCCAGTCTTGCTCTCCAGTTGTGCTGGGTGCTTTGGCATTGCTTTCAGTAAAATGAGTGCAGTTCCTGCATCTTGTGGCTGTACAAGTTGATGTTCACTGGATACATTTTTTCATATTTTTGATCTATTTATTTTAAATGCAGTCTAGCTTCTGTATCCTGTGGCCTTGTGGTAGATACCAAGGGAAGAGCGAAGAAAAACAGAGGAAAATATATTGTGACATTTTTCCTGTGGAATTCTGCTTGTACCCTCAAGCTGATGCTGTATCCTCTTAGCCTTATTTCCCGTGTTCAGACGGGTTCCATGGGTAAGGATCTTTTTTTTTTTTCACTTTTTTCTTCTGTGTTACCACAGCTTCTTTGAAAGTCTTTTAAGAGACACCTTGCAAAACTAGTTGTGGAACTCCAAAGTGGATCCATCACCTGTGTCTCCTTGTTAAACTGCTTCAGAAAACTTTGAAAAACTCTAAATAGATTTTCAAGGCAGGGCTTTGCTCACAAAAGCTGCTTCACATCTTAGCCACTGTATCTTCTTTGTGACTCCTAATTCTGTTTGTACGGTTTTCCATCTGTTTGTCTGGGTTGCTGGGGTTGCTTGTCTGTGGTTTCCCATCTTTTCTGTGTTCCTGACAACTCCTGGTCAAAGTGCTCCACACTGAACAGAGGGACACTGTATTTTGATCATCTGCTCTGTAGTTTCTCTGGCATCATTTGACATTTCATGTTTTGGTGTCATTTTCAGTGCAGAAAACATTTAACAGTTTAGTAGTATGAAAGGTATTTAGCATAAGCAGAGCCATTTTACAGCCATTTTACAAAACATTCTTTGAGTTTTAAAACTTTTCTGCTTCAGCACAGAGAAATTTTCACAACCTTAGACATTTGCCCTTTCATATATCTTAGGTTTTTATTAAAGAAGATTGTCCTTAATGTTTTTGGTTTTTTTTCCCTTCTCCTTTCTCTTTACTAAATCTTATGCTTGTGATATGCAGGGTGTGCTTTTGCAGTGATCAATATGAGCTGATGTTCTGGGGAAGGTGGAAGGATTGGTGCCTGTAAGGTTTCTGTGCTTCCTTTTCTTTTGCAGTATCTTTTGCTGTCTTACAAGTACTCTTTGTAACTGCTTCTTTCTTTATGTTTAACTGCTTCTTTATGTTTTTTTTTATCCCTGTGTTTTTAATTGAATTAGAAATTGTGTCTCCTTGCATCAAATCAAATAATTAACTTTCATTAGTCAGAAATTATTATCAATGTTTTTCAAAGAGTTTTTGTGGCACCTATGAGCAATTCATAGACTATTGAAATCTCTGCAGGGTGGCCATTGCTATTGAGCCATGACATTCCACTCCAGCCTGAGCTGGAGTTTGATCTTCATATTCCAGGGGAATATAGCTAGATGGCACAAGCCACATTTTATTCCTTGCACTTTAGATTCCCCTCACCCCACCCCCCAATATTTTTCCAGCTATTTTTATATTATTGTTTCCTTTTCACCTTAGAACTATTTTGGGTAAAAATCGCTTAGCTTCCTGTGAAGTCTACCTGAAGAATACAGCAGGACAAGACCCAGGAAAGCACCTCCAGAAGAATTTTATTAGTTTACAGTCCTGTTCATGTGTATGAATACCTGTGGCAGTGCCACTGCATCGAGCCAGGGCTGCCAGTCAGCAGACCTCAATCTCTTCCAAATCTAGTTCCAAGGCTGTAACTTAGTCTCAGTTTCTTTCCCTCCCCAGGAATCCAGTGTTAACTTGTCTTTCTGAGGTGCTTTAGCCCTTTGGATGGATGGTTTTCTCCAAGTGCATCATGGTTTTGGCTTCGTACCACGATGCTCAGCTGGGCATCCTGCAGCCCTTGTGCCAACATAACAGAAAGCAGTTGTGGTATTTTTCTGTTCTTACTTGCTTATTTTCTTTATCATTCTCAACCCCAGTTGCACACATCATGGCACAAGAGCTGTGGTTCTTCGAGATGAAAAACTGCTCCTCCAAGGAAGCCACACGTAACAGCCTGAAGGTACCGAGGAGTTCAGAACTAAAGTAACACAGATCTTAAAATTGCTGATGTCTATAAACACTGTTTTGGAACAGCTTTTAATATGTGAAATGATGTGCTGCAGATCACGAATTAATCAAATTACAGCAAAGAGTGTGAGGTGACAGCAGAAAGCAGAGAATGGCAGCAATGCCTGGTTTGTACTACTTATCCCTGGGCTGACAGCATTTTCTATCATAAATCTGTTTGGTTTATAACTAGGCCATAAAACCTTGCTTCAGGATATTCTGCAGTTCAAAACTTGTGCTTTTATAGAGAAATACATCAGTAATTTGTGAATTAAAATTGCAGCACTTTAACAATTATTTCCATTTCTTTTGCACTCTTATAACTTGTGCTTTTTGCACTCGATTTATGTTCCATATAAATCTGTGTGATCTGTTCAAAACTTGCTGTCTCCTTGGCTTCATCAGATTTCTTTTTTTATATATAGGTGTCCCTTACTCACAGAAAATGCTCCTTCATACTTTTTGTAATTAGATGGGGGACCTTGCTCAAACATCACAGGAGGCTGATGAGACCAAAGTGAGTTTGGGTTTGTTTGGTTTAAAAGACTGGCTGTGTATGGGGGTAGGAAGAACACAGTTATTAACAGAAGCTGAACAAGGAATAAGTTACAATCCTTAGCTTCGCTCTCTTAAAAGTCAGGAGATTTAGTGCCAGTTTATCCCATGTTTTTTATATTCTTAATGCTTCACCTGATCTGTTTGACGCTGACCAGTCTTGCAGACAGGAAACAAGCATGTGGAACACAGTGGAGTCTGGCAAGTCCCCATGTTTCTACTGAATACTAGAAGTAGACCAGTGTAATCCATCTTTAAATGATCTGTTTTTAACGATAACATAACTAAACATACAGCATACACATCCTGCAGCCCTCAATTAATGGAAAAACTAAGAGCTCTAGTTTAGAATGACAAGATCTTTTTATTATTATATCACTAATAAAACAAGGACGGTGGCATCAGAGGACTTACCATGATCTGTACCATCTCTTGCAGTCACATTAGAAATTATCTGTAAATCAATTTGACAGATTTCATCAATTGGAGCAACATCTGCTGGATACATGCCCCAGTACACATGTTGAAAGGGATGTTCAAATTACCACGAGTTCAGAATCCATTCTGGTTTCTGTAGAACGCAGTGAAGTCAAGTGGAAGGAATAAAACACCATCAGTGAAAGAGGGAGAGCTGAACACCAGCTGAGGAGAGACAGGTTACAAGCAATTGGCATTGTTTGTATGCTGAGCGGTGTGCACCAGGAAGAACACCCAAATAAAGCTTTTAAGGCAAAATAGGTTATAGTTTCTTACTTTTTGATACTGGGGAGGGCTGCAGCAGGACAGTGGCTCTTGGAGGCCTGCACTTCAGGTCCAGACAGTGTTACAGGGGTAACACTGTTTTGCCCCTGACAGGGCAGTTCACTTTGTTCCCAGAGGATCAGGATGTCTGTCAGGCAGCTGCAGCTATTGCTATTCAGTTTTGGAAAGAGGAAGACCATGGGTTAAAAGGGGGTTTAAATGATAGTGAGTTTGGTCCCAGTTCTACGCATCACCTCTGAGGTTCAGCTTCTTGGATTTGGATGTTTAAAGGTAGTATCTTTGTTCTGGCTTTCACATTTGTCTAATGAGAGACACCTTCCATCACCTGAGGTACGTTTCATGCAATAGTTACTCATTACTTCGAAGAAATCAGAGGTTTGAGGCTTGTGAAGCAAAAGCAAAAATAATACTGTAACTGAAATCTTCTTTATTCTCAAGCCAAATGTAACCCAGTAATTCCCACTGGGAGGTTCCTTACACAGCACGAGCATTGTCCTTCCCCTTGGCTCGCAGGGACTTGCCATGCACATACAGGTACTTCATGGAAAAAAATGCAAAGTTTAACTTTGCTCTTTTCAAGAGGACAACTTTGTACTTGGGGAACTCTTTTCACAGCCCAGCTTCAACGTGATCCACAATCTCTGAGCTCAGTGATGATCTTGGAACTCCGTAAGGCAGAGATTTTTGCAGGTGCAGTGTTGTGATCTTTCTGGCAAGTATGAATGCTATTGTAGTACCTGGTAGTTTAACTTCTTCATTCTAGAAATTTGGTCATGTTCTTTCCAGCAGTTGTGGCCTGGTTTGTAGTCTGTTGCCTCAGGAGGGTCCCTGTCAGCCTCTTGCAGGAGTACAAATGACAGAACACAACCCCTCCAGCCTCAGCCTGGTGTCTTCACTGAGAAGCACGCTGCCATAGCCAGTGGGGTTTTGGTTTTTTTTGATAAATTTTGTTTGCCCTCCTTCCTCCCACCCCTATTTAAAAAACAGCAGCTTGATAGCACAGCAGCAAATGCACATTAATATCAAACAGAATTTTCACTACCGTTTTCATATTAACATGAGATGTCAGAATGTAAAGTGAGCTGGATCTGCACATGGGACCACTCTTGCCATTAAAGGCTTTAGGCTGGAACAGAGCCCAAATTTTTTAGAAGAAATGCAACATTTCCTGATCAAATATTAATTACATGCTATATAGAATTATATATTTCAAACGAATTTTATAAATAAAAGGCTAGGCCTTTCAAACCATCAGCAATATTAACTTTGCATTTGAAAGATTATGAAAGATAAACAACCACATAACTGTGAATTAGAAAAATACTGGCCTAGGTTGCATAAAAACCTCCATTAAATAAATACTGTAAGTTTTCACTATGAAAATCCAGTGGCGTTGTACTTAAAAAAGCCGTAATGAATTAACCATCTGTTAATGACACCCGAGTTGTTGTTCACAAATCACGTACACACACAGGGAGTCAGGTGGCCCAAAAAGGCGACAGTTCAACAGAAAGTACTCTTGGTATGTGCTGCTCCTCCATCACAGCTTCCTGACTGCTGCTGCAGTTCCCAGCTGCAGACCCTGTTCCCCTTCCCCTCCGGGTTGCAGTGCTGTCCCAGGAGGTCCAAAGGCTGGTACAGAAGGTGACTGTGACTGTGGCCTCGTGTGTTCCCCCCTCAGAGCAGCGGTTTGGTCTCGGGGCGGGTCACAGTGCGTGGCTCTGGTTTCCAGTGTGGCTGGAAGAAGTGGATGTTGAATGTCCGTGCCCAGTTCTCGAAGACTCGTTTCTCTGTGATGAACCGGTGGTGGCTCCCCTTGCGGCCCCGCTCGTGGGAAAGGTACATTGTGCACTCGTCAGGTCCCAGAGGTTCATAGTAATGATAAGGTACTGAAAGATGATTAGGATCCCTGTGGAAAAAAAAGAAAACAGATGGAAGCCCAAGATGCTCCTTTTCACTGATTGAAAAGATGCTATCTTTAATAAACTGACGGGCTCAAATCCACTTTTTCTCCCAGATAAACCAGATTTCTAGGTAGCTGTATTTTTCTTGCATATTTAATACATGAGAATGGGGCAAAGGTGTTTTCTTTGCTCTTTCTATTGCTCTCCTTTAATCCCCTCCTCCCAGTTAAACAAAGGGCAGCAGTAGCTCAGAAACAAGGGAGAGTGCTGCAGGGCTGTGTTACTACACATGAAATTGGAAGCAAACTGCTTAAAAGAGATTTATATCGAGATTGTGAGTTGTAAAAGGTCTTGGAGAGGTATTTACTGAACTGGGGGAAGAAAGGGAAGAAGCCAGAGGGGAGGTGGTTATCTGTGTCAGCTCAGTTGAACATTCCCAGCACGACGCGCGAGCTTCCAAGTGCAAAACCTCAGCGAGTGTGTCTGCATGCCAGGTCAGTGGTACCCTCTGCTGTTGCTGGGCTTTTAAGCAAAACAGCTGATGCACAAATGGGTTCTTTTTTATTTTACTAAAGCAGCTTTCACGTGTCTAAGCTAGAAATTAAAACTGTTCACCCACAGTAGCCTTTTGACCTTGTGAACCTGTTTGCATTACCCAGCAGGAGAGGAGAACTCATGTGGTGACACATAGGATAGGCCAAAGACCAATTAGATACTTAGGATAAAGTTCATTTTAGCATTCTAACTTTAATGTTTTAATGTTACATTCTGTAAAAGGCACATTTGTATTATAATAAGCCAGAGTGATTAATTCTCCTTTTGTTTTAATCTCTATATTAAACTGTACCCATTCTGTGTTTTTTCCTCTGGGTACTGTGTTTTGGCCTGACAAGAGCTCACACAACCCTCTCTGTCATGAATTTAAAGAGAGAGCTGTTCCAGACAGAATAACCCAATTGTACTGCTCTCCACAGTTACTACCAAGTATTTTGTAGTGGCAGAAAAGTTAATCCTAATAGCAGCATTTAGTGAAGCCTTGGAGCTGCTCTGTGTTAAAGCCTGGGCTGAACAGGACCCTGGTACAGAGCAAGAAATCTCATGCAGATTCCAGGCTGTCAGCTCTAATATACAGTTGATTATTTCCATTTTGAAGAGCTAATATTTAAGCTCACTTTCAATTGAATGCATCCACAGTCTGTCAGTGTTCTGTCCTGGTCATTATTTTTACTTGTAATTCTGTCACCTAAGCAATTCTCTAATTTTTCTTATTTTGCCATTATCCATACTGTGTATGCAGAGGTAATGTATGATATTGCTGCTGCTTTCCATTTGTGCCCTAGATTAACGTTTTAATTCCATCCATCAGGCTCCCTTGTAACACAACATGGTGATCAATCTTCCAAGAACAGAATAACAATAAAATTACATTTCTAGAATAAGATGGATTCTAAGCTTATTAAATATATTCTCACCGGAATACATAAGAGCGAAACAAAATCCTTCATTACCTTACCCACAGAAAACATATTTGTAATGTAAAAACTACCCTTCCTATAGAAATTTAATACTTTTAAGCTACAACTATTAAAGGTCAATCTTCAATTAATTTTTCACTTTTTTGATACACTGGACCTCTTCTTATTGTCACTTAATAATGTGTATGGTTACTGTAAATCTAACAGAATACATTTTCATGGGATTTATTTTTAAGAACTACTACACAGATAGGTCTCTGGATTCCCCCAGACTGCATGCTGGTAAACTTTGGATTTGAAATCTGGCTTGAGTAACTACACCATAACCCAAATTAACTGTGCTGTGTTATCTTCTAACTCTGCAATTAGCTTGTGTCACCAGCAAATGAAATGCATGAGTAATTTCTATACGGAAATTGCTTGCCACCTCATTTATTAACATTAAAACAGATGCTGTTTTATCACTGACTGATACTGGACATTAATCAGTATTTTGTCAGACTCTGCATGCATATTAATATCACAGCTGGGAGGAATCTGGGGAAGTTCCTCTGTAAAATATCCTACACTTCCTTCCTGGTAGCCTGCCAGCACAGCACCCGTGTAAGTGCTTGGACCCATGTCAGTCAGCTACTGTTTACCACTTGAGTGCACGTTTTCCCACAGATGGTACCCACCCCCAGCCAAAGCTGAAAGCACAGTGAACACTGTTGGCCTCAAAAGAAACAAGGCAGAAAAACCAGGCCACGCCGTATCACATTCTGGTCAACCTCTCCCTTTAGAAATGAAGTGCCATTATAAATCAACCCTCTAAAACTATAGGCACTCGCTCACTTTGTAAAATAATTCATATTTTGAAGGGTGAATAAAGTGTCATTAATATGTTGAGTGATGGGCAAGGTGCTGTGCCAGGACTATGAAGATTTCTGGATAATTTTTTTGCCTTCTGTTCCCAGGGTCCCATTTCCCTGACCTCCATTATTAGCCCCATTTTCCAAACCATTTATGCATTTTGTTATTAAGGTAATGAGGTGAAGCATATGGACCAAAGGGCAGGACTCTCTCACATACAGCTTAAAGTCCTGCGAGCCCCTCTTCTTCCATCAAGCCCCTCTTGAGCTCCAGGAAATGTAACTTCCAACAACTGCTTCTCTGCATTTGATTTAAAGGAACTGGAAGTGGAGAGAGGGAGGTAAGAAAACACCAGATTTAAAAGCTGTACTCAAAGGAATAAATGAAAGTATTTCAAATGCCAATTTTCAGGCAAACAGGCCTGGCAGTCAAATGCGGATTCTTACAGGAAAATGATCTGGTTCCATAATTGGAGCAAAAATTATTCGTATTAGTTAAAATAATTAGTTAAATTAGTTAAAATAAGGCAAAAATACAGCAAGATGGCTTGTTTGTCTTGTGACAAAGAGTGAGAGGTGCACACACTCTACAAAAATCTTTGGGATGTGCACGGAAGCACAAAAGCTTTCATCTTATTACAGAATGTGCAGATCAGAAGTATTTAACAGTGTGAGAGCAATACCAAGCCATTAATCCTTACTACAGCATAAATCTGTAGCAAAATAAAGGGGTTCGAAATTTCATATAGCTTTGCTGTAAACTACAAAAAATTTATAACAATCAGGACACCAATTCCAGTTCAGCTCTAAAACTCAGTGTCCAGTGAAAGTCAATAGAAAGGAATCTAAAACACCTTGTTGCAATTAACAGTGACAAATCTTTTACTCCGTACTCCAGACTCCTTCACTAAGCTATTTTTCCTGCATGGGTGCAAAGCAATTTGGTTAATGATCTTAAGCTAATAATTTGCAGCAGAATCAACAGTATGATGTTCAGGGTACCTTTGAGATGTCCTTCACGTTACAGATGTGAAACCAATTTAGTTCCATGACAGCGATCGCCACACTCGTTACTTACTCCACAAATTAGTACTTAAAAAAGAATGGGTACCTATCTGCTGAAATTTCAAATCTGGTGATATCAACTCTGAATAGAAATAAGATTTTGGGGTGGTTTTTTTTTCTTTTGATCTTAATGATTGTTTAGTTGCACAGCGACGAGGGTACCCACACCATCTCGCACACACACGTTACAGAGTTATTACAATTACAGAATATTTCTTTCTTTCTGCTATTCTGTTCTGTTGTCTTATTTCTTTGAAAGGAAGCACTGTTTAACTTCTTAATGAGTGGTTGAAGAGCAAGCTAAGAAGGTTAACTGTATTTATAGCAAGACACTGCTTCCATAGGTCTTCATGGACAGCTTCTCCCAGGCATGGCAACTACAGTTTTCCCCTTCATCATCTGGGGAATCAAGCTGAAGTACAGACACTTCATATTATTTTGATTAAGAAATGACCTTTCTCCCTTTTACAACCAGGTGAGCGAACTTTTATGTTAAGATTTTTTTTTTTTTAATGTGGGCTGTAAGCATTATTACACCAGTGGTAGGATTAATTTACAGCCTTTCTAGTGTTGTAATTTAACATTATATCCATGCAATTTTAGTGTATCAATTCTATGAATGCCTTTCATATATGGCCTCAGTAACATTTTTAGCCTCTCTTAAAAACTGTTTGGGTTTAGTGTTGTTTGTTTGTTTGTTTTGTTTGTTGTTTTTAAAGATGTATATGTACCTAAATTACTCTGACTTTGGCTGAAAAGTCAGGACTGTGCATTATTTTGCAGTGAAATGCTGTCTTCTGCATTTTTAGATCATCAGTTTAATAATTATTATTTTCATGTACCACTGGAATACAGCCCTTTCTGGAGTAAGACAGACCAGCCACTTACAGAAACTGTAGTAGTATGTGTTGGCCAACTGAACTGACAGGGGAGCTGAGGTGCTGTGCTGTGGAAGGTATTTGTGTTGTCTGGCATATCTGATCTAGTTTGTTATTTTCCTTGGAGAATTTGTGATGAAGCCTGGCAGTACATCACAGCATTTATCATCAGTCTTTTGTTATAATTTGTAGAAATTCTCACAAAGTGGAGTTTAGTGTTGACATTTTATACTGTGATTTCTTCAGGGATTTCTACTATGTGCCCAGGACAAATGCAGACTCCTGACTGATCCTTTTTAAGTGCTCAGAGGAAAGCCCAAGCAGTCCTGAGTCAGAGCAGTCCTGCTCTTTGCCAGATGCACTGACCTGGCATTGCAGCCTTGCTCTCCTTGCCCCTGAAAGGCACCTGGAATTAGCCAGTGAACCAGACTTCAGTGAGATCACTGCACTTGCAATAGAAAATTAAAGCAAGTACTTCTTAGTGAAAGGGGTTTGTGAGCAGGAGATGAAATGTTCCACTGATGCCTCATTGCAGACTAGCAGCACCAGCCCCGTGCCAGCGGGGTCAGGACTGACGGGCACGGAACCACGGGGTGCTGGAAGGCCACAGTGCTGGGCTGGAAATGCATGGACAGGTGAGACTTCTGGCACCATAAAGATTGCTGATGTAAAACAAATCTAGATGTATTCATAGTGCATCATGTGGCTGATGTGATTTTGGTCCAGCAGCAGAATTTCTGAAGACCGTTTCCCTGTATCATCACTGATCCTCAGGGGGACACCTTAACCAGGACCTTGGGTCTGAGTCCTGCACAGGGCTGGAGGCACAACAGGGCTGTACAATGTGCACAAGCTGCTACTTTACAGAACAGCTTCCACTGGCAGAATTTGTGTGCTCCTTCTGCCACTTGTGGCCCACACCCTGCATGCCCCACCCAAATGGGACTGATCCTCTGTGTCCACATTCTGGGTGAGACCTTTGGTGGGGATTATTTAGGAAGTTAGTTTACTGTAAAATTGGGATTCATGTCAGAGAGGTACAACAATCTTAATTTGAGTTGCACAGAAAGTTCAATTTAGAAGCTAGTCACTGTGAGAATGCTGTTCCTCTATTAATTTGGGGGGAACTTGAAAAACAAATTAAAAGTCATGTTTTCCAGTACTACTTTCTTCAGATTAATTTCATGCCAATTATTGCATTACTTTTAGCTGATAAATATTCAGAGACTAAAAGAAACCAACAAGATGGATTAATTCTCCCACACTACAAACAACATTTTTTAATATTTTACATAACATAATTAAACCCTTTTTGTTGTTTTCAGAATGAGATTGTGGGACATCTTAATTAATTGCTTTAAGAGGACTGAAGACACGTTGCAGAGAAAAAAAAAAGATTAAAAGATTCAGATATTTATCTGTAACGTCAACTGTGTTGGCTAATAATGGTTCCAAAATAAAATCCTACCTGCAGAAATCCGGTGGCACCATGCCATAAACATTTATCCTGTCACAGAGCTCTAATGCGATAGTCATTGTGAACCAGCCCGTGCTAAGCCAAGTGTTGGATATCTTCCTGAAAGCAAAAACATAATTAAGTTTCTAAGCTGACAAACAATTCTCCAGATTTATTTATTTGTTTCCTGAAAAAATTCCGAACCAGTTTCTCGGCGTTTTTTTTTCACTCTCATGAAAGGCTACGAAACTTGGGCAACCACGACTACTTTGCTCATTCATCTTGTAGTGATTTTGCTTAGTGTCTCCTGTCAGTGGCCTAACCTGTGCAGAAACTGCCCTAGCTGAAATTAATTTCGGGCACAACAGTGTTAATATTTAGCTGACCTTTTGGTAAATTTACTTTAAGTGACTGAAACTTCATGTCCTGTACTTATATTCTACTGCTAGTAATCTGTACACATCTGTAATCGCTTAATGGAGCTTGCACACTAAGTGCTTGGGAAGATGCATCACGGGGAGATGAAGGGGCTGCTTAAAATGCTTTTCCCACAGCACACACAAGCCCATCTGCTTGAGTGACATCGGGACTGGAGCGTTGTAACTTTTTCCTCCCACCCCACCCATGATTTGGGTTCTAGAAGCTCCCAGCCACTCGCTGTGACTGCTGGCAAGAAGCTTATTGGGCTGCAGCTCTGCCTTTGTCCCATTGCCAGCCTGGGAAACCTTCATCCTGGGAACTGCCCCTCTGCCTGCCCCCAGTGCCATCCCTGCCTGGGGGAGACCTTTGATATGACTGACAGAGCACTGCCAGGGAGCCCTCAAAGGCAGCCCCTCGCCTGGCCTTCTCTGCAGGCTGGGAGATGGCTTTCAAAGAAGCTCAGCTGATCCCAGCATTATTTATGCAAAATAGGAGATATCGCCATGTAACTGCTCACAGATGTAAGGGATTTGCAAGTCGGGTGTAAAATTTTGCTGTGTCACAGGTTCTTAGCTGCAATATGGCAACAGAAACGTTTCCTCTTCCTCTCATTTGCTTGCCAATGCTGTTTAGTGCATAAGAGCTGGGTCCTTTAGTGGTTACTGGTTGCCTGGCACGTGCACTGGAATTCCCAGTCCTGTGTTAAGTTCCTGCACTGGCTCTGTGCCACTGGAGAGCTGGCAGTGTTGGAATGGGAAGATCAAGGAAATGCCAGCGAGGAGCACGTACGTCTTAAAGGTGTCATAAGGGCATGTTAGGGACTGGCACCTCTCTTAGACATGGAGGCACATAAAGTAGGGTATTTGCTCCAGAGAAAACGAGTTCACTCAAAGGTCTCCTTTCAAATACTGTTAAAGACAGCAGGTCTCCCTAATGGCTCCTCACTCAGCTAGAAAAGTCCCGCAGGAAGAAGTTCAAGCTTGTGTCATCTGCAGCCCAAAAAGGGTTCAGATTCCTGCTGACAGCCTGTCACAGTGACTGGCTCTCCCTTCATCTCTCACTGAAGCTGAGGCAGTGTGGGAGCAAGGGCAGGCTCCTGGAAGGCGTGGGCACTGTATCAGATTGGATTAACATGGAACCTACATTAACCCCCTTCCCCCACACCTGTATCTGCCTGATACCTGGGAAACTTTGTGACATCACTCCCACCAAAAAAAAAACCACAGCAGAAAACATGAGGTTCTCTTTGGAGAAGTCACCTGGGAATCCCAGGTTCTGACCCAAGTTCCAAGGCCATCTTTTACAGTTTACCCAGTGACAGCACTGTGTGGAACAGTCCTGGAAGCAGGGACCTGAGACCACAAAAGCCACTGCAGGCAAATGCCAGCAATCACTAACATCTAATTCAGGCGAAAAGAGCCACCACGCAGCTTCCCAAGCTAATGCAAAACAAGCTGGGTCTCAGTAGGTCACCTACAGGGCAGTAGGAGGGGGATGTTTAGAGCACTGTCAGGTTGAGGAATGCCTTGTACCAAGTTTCCCATTTCCTCAGGGAATTAGAACTACTGCAAAGAAAAAAACCAAGTGGCAGTACCAGTGCTGGCTGCTTGAAAGATGCTTCTAAACATAAGGGAATTCTTTAACCAAATCTGCCTGAAGGATGCTGGGGAGCCCAGTTTATTAGTCCTGTCCTTTGTGGGTCGCCTGGTAACATGTGAACTCCTGAAACACACATTTATACTGCCCCTGACATACAGACTTTCAGGCTAAGCTGGCATTTGGACAATGTTTTAAGCATCTCATTATTTCCAATTATGGGCCCTTATTTATTTTCTGACTCTGCACAGAAGCTCGGGGTTGGTGGTGCAGTTTGTCACAATGTCATAGCTGGGTCAGAAGCTCAGCAGAGACCTTCAGGCACTGCAACAATATAAAACAGTAAATAAGAATTTTCAGCTCAAAATTATTAGGAAAGGGAACAAGTAGGGAAAAGCTTACAAAACTTGCTTCTCTGCCACCCGGGAGTTTCTGAGCTATGAATCACTAGGTAATTCAGGAACATGTTCAGGCTAAAAGTACTCTGGAGCTTGCACAAGGCCACTGTTCCAGGTGCCTAACACCTTACATTCCAAAACCCAGGGAGCAATTGTAGCTGGATCATGACCAAAGGCTTTGCACAGGTCAGGCAACCCAGCCAGGCTGTCTCTTGGGTTAGTTTTCTTTTTGCTTACACACATTTACTTACACTGTAATTTAGTGTTTTCAACAAATAGGAGAATAACTGAATATAAATAAACCAGCTTAAAAGCTAAACAATCAAATAAAGATTAAAAAATTTATTCAAGTACCACTTTGGCCTCTTTAAATACCATGTCCGTAGGACAGCAACACAGAAATGGGGTTATAGTGTCTTGTCTTTTCATAAAAGATCTGAGCAAGAGTCCAACAAAAGAATACTGCTTTTATACCTAATCAGCTGTAATGAAAGAATATGAAACACTGTCATGTGCTTATTAGGGGAAATTATCAGATATTCTTTTATATGATGAACTAACACACAGCGCTGATAATTCTGTAGTGCACACTAAATTACAATTAAAGGCCTTTCTGCTCCACCAAAATCTCATTTATAATCTCTATGGAAATACTCTTCCTGCAGTTATTTCATTTATGCTTCTTTTATCTAATTACTGTAATATTGGTTCTGAATCATATTTTCTTAATGTACCCTTATTCAATTATAAAGTTATTTTCAAGTATAGTTACTTTATAATGCCAAGTATATCACTCTGCAGCCTTTGTCTTTCACCACACTGTTTAACTGGCAATGTTTTCTGAAGGTCTCTCTCCATTTCAAAATCAGCTTTTTTCTGAAAAGCACAATACATCCAATTACCTTTTTTCTCATCATTTTCAAGACAGAAATGAATAGTCTGATTATTGCAACCTTGCAATCATGCTTTTCTCTCCCTCCTTTGTTTTTTGTAGGCACTAATGCCAAGGGCTCAGCAGAAACCTTCCAGGGAAGAGCAGCATTCTGAGCTATGCAATGTTCTGCTCCTGCCCCCACAGCCACGTAAATTTTCTCCCCTTACGAATTTCTTCCTATCCGTGTTTCTCTTCATCTTCCCTCTCTTCTCTGCTGCTTATTCATTTATTTTCATCTCCCTTTTTAATCTTCTCAGTCCTTCAAGTATGCTGTCTGTGCCCTCCAAAGGAGTGCTTCACACACACAGCAGATCCTGCAGTTTATTAAAATCAACAGGGCCTGTTCTCGAGGCTGAATTTTGCTGGCATCTGAGTGCCCTTGACTCACACTGGGAATTCAGGGTGCCCATGACTGAGTCCAGTATGAACTTGTTACAATGTCATTAATGGCTCAAATGCCCCCAGAATACTTCAGGAGCCAAGTCTGGTGCCCATGCAGAAAAAGAAATGCTTTGATCACACATTCACTACAGGCCTCTGGCTCTGGATGGCTGATGCAGAACCAGAAAAAGCAGCTTGCCTGAAATGGCACAGCATGTGTCAGAATAAGAACAGGAGCCTGGCAGTGCCAGGGAGGGAATGGGACCCTGGCTCCCTGTGGCAGAACTGGCCAGGCTGAAGCAGAGGAGGTGAACTGTTCCCCAGAAATGGGGACTGCTCCAGATCCTGCACTGAAAGCCCAGTCCAGGAAAGGAGGGTTCCCTGTGTTACAATGCAATTACAGCTTTGCTGGCTTTCATGCCTTTGTAAATACTGAGCATAATGATAACCCTCTACACTTTTCTTGAAGGGCTCAAATGCTTAATTCACCTTCTCACTTCACTGTACTCTGGAAAAGACTGAAACACATCACAACTGGCAGGATACCTCCCCTGTCTCTTCCTTTTTCTTCTGACAGAGACCCGAACACACCAATTTGAGGATGAAGAGAAAAGGACCTTGACTGGTAAGAAACTAAGTTGCTCTGTGCTCCAGTGTGAGGGCAAGTCAATCACAAACTCAGATCCATCCTTTGATCCACTGTAACTGAGCAGAGCTTGGAAGCAAACCATGTGGGGTGTGACTAAGGCAGCAAACACCAAGCAAATGATACAACAGTTTCCTCTACCATTGGTTCTGCCTTTCTTGTGTAGCCCAGAAAATTAATCCCATGCTCTTGAGTCTTCCCTGTCCACAAGAGGATTGAGCCCTGTTTCAAGCTCTGGTGTCTGTGTATTGTATTTGTAAGCTAGAAAACCTCACCATGAGTTACTGCACAATATACTTCCCACTTCATTTGTACCTAAGTGAGGACCCTGTTTTCCATTTTTACAGCAGCATATTTAATAAGTAAAAAAATAGAAGTTCATTAAAAATAAATGTCTTTCTTGTTGGGAAGTGTTTGGTTTGAATGCCCATTTTCAAACATTGTATGTGAAAATACTCAAGTCCTGCACTGGGTCACTTACTAAAAATTTGATTTGAAGATCAGCCTACAAGTCTCATAAACAGTCTCATAAAGATGTAACTATCACAATAACTTTCCATTTTCCAGTTGCAAATATAAGATGAACTGTTCTGAAGCACCTAATGTATGACTAATGTTTATTTGTTTTACAAGAAGCTTTACAGCTGCAATGTTCCGAGAATGCTTAAATTCAATAAACAGCTATTATAATTCATTGAATGGTGGCATTTCCTCTATAAGAAAACATAACCTATCCATTTTAATTTTTCAGAATCAGTGAAAAAACTTTAAGGTATATTACCCCAAAGTGAGATTTAAACAGCTCCTGCCTCCTTGGCTGTATAAACAGTACATCCAGATTCTGGTATTCTGAGTTGGTGAGGCAATAATACTCCATACAAATCATTTTGATGCCTGTTTTTTACTTATGTTACCAGTGATCCTATTTGACGTGTCATACCACATTACGACTCACGAGGCAGAGGATTTAATGGGTGTGATTGTCCCACTGAGCAGCTCTGAAATGGCTGTATAATATAAACCACATTACTTTCCTCCTGTGTAACACCCCCCGGCCGCACCCACGGTAAGTTCTCACCTGTCCTTCCCGGTTTCCCGTTTGAACAGGTCATCAAACTGGAGCATCTTGTGGCGAGAAATCATGTACACTTTTAACCGTGGCAGTATCTGGTTCATCAGCTGCAGGTTGTTGTACACCAGGCCCTTGCCGTCCCTGCGCATGTAGCTGCTTGGCCCCCAGAAGATGAACACGGCGCCGTGGCTCATGTTCAAGAGTTCGTGGCGGTTCCGCAGGATCCTCTGGATGCTGGAGTGGGCGATGACCCGCAGGCTCGTTTTGTTCCCAACGTCTCTTCCATAGCCCCGGGTGGGCGCGTCGTTCATCCGGATCACGCACTCGGCCTCGTCGATCCTGTCGCCCTGTTTGCCGCCCAGGAGGTGCCCGGAGCTGGTCACCAAGGCACAGCTCTTGCAGTGCATCTTTAACGGCTGCAGAGACACACGGAGCTCAGGATTAGCTGCAGACATCTTCCTTTTCACTGCATTACTGTATTTTATGCAGAAATGGCACATTTTACAGCAAAAGTCGCAAGGGAATTTACATAAATCACTCCCAGCAGTCTTCCCAACTAGCTGGGGACGCGTTACCTGGATGTTTTGTAGATGGGGAAAATGTGGTATAGGTGTATTAGCCTTTAACATTCCTCTGTGGAGTTGAGCCCATTGTGTAAATCCTCCTTTCCACTGTCTACACAGAAATGACAACAGCTTCTATACTGCTCCCAGCTGCTTAGGACTGCACTTCTTCCACCTGCCATAAACAAGCTACAATTGGAGTATTTTTTATTCTTCCTCTTCCACTTTTTTTCAGGAAATAATAAACCCTAAGTCCTCCTAAGTTCACGTGCGAGTAGCTTTTCAACCCTGGGGTCAGGACATTGTGCTAAGGGAAGTAGCACACTATACTTTGGCCCAGTCCTTGCATGGTATTTGCAGGTTGGTCCCATAACCACTGCAGTGCTCTTGTACCTCCTTTATGGTTCAACGCTCAGAGGTGGTCATTAATGTCTGTGTGTATTTGGCATGACAGTGAGTTAGTGCACTGAACTTTTTGTAGCTTGTCAGGTCATGTTCAAAAGTTACACAGTAAAATGGAACAGGAGGTGCCTGCTCAGTGAGTGCTGACCTAATGGAAGAAGGACAGTAAAACAAGCTTTCATGAAAATGAAAATGCATGATAAATCATATTACTGGAGTATGCCACCTATACAGGTATCAATTAGAGGAGTATGTCACTACCTACTGCTCAGCAAGAGAACTAAAAAGGAGCAAAGGTTAACAATATCCCCAAAGTGCTACTTTCTAACAAGAATACAATGAACTGTGAGGTAAATAAAGACTGACTGAAGGTGTGCCTTGGTGGCCCTCCATGAAATAGTATCTTGCACTTGGTGTGTATCTTACAGTTTCTCTGAAAAACAACAACAAAAAACAAACACCACATAAAACCACCCACCACCTCCTGAAAACAAATAAACAAAAAAAAAAACCCACCACAAAAAAACCCAAAACCAAAACCAGCACAGAAACTGAACTGTGGTTGCTCAGTCATTTTGATCTACTGATCTTCCCTACGGGTGTCCATCAGATTTTTCTTTTCATCCTTAACCCTGAAGGATGGCATTCCAATACCTTCCTGGTGAGTAACAGGCTTGTTTAATTCAGACACACCACTTGCTGCCAGCAAGTGGTCCCCTGCACTGGTCTGATCCTCTGGTGTGCTGAAGAGGTGACAGGATCCACTGGCTCTGAGGAGTGTGAGCAACATAAACCCATCTTGCACCCTCAGCACCTCGAGGCCAAACCCTGTGGCTCTTCATGGGATCTCATTGTTCACAACACCACAAATGCACCCAGCATGTCTCCAGGTGTAAACCTGGGAGGTTTATTAGCAACGAGAAGTTCTGGTGGCATATAATCACCCTTCCTATCAACCGCATGTATCAAGTGACTAAATCAGTCTGCAGGGAGGCTCAGCTTAAAGCTCTAAAGCTGAAAAGGACACATAACCTAGGTTTGACATCATCTCAATCCCCTGTTTGAAAATGCTTTGGCCCCTAGAATTTGATGGGAGTGTTTTACTGTTGTAACTTATGTTTAATTTTGAAAGTAATAAGTGGTTACTATTGCAGTCTGAGATTTTTTTTTCAGTGAGAAGACTGCTTTTTAATTGAAGAGAAAATAATGAAACTATACAATCTGTGCAATGATACAACCAGCAAGTCTTGTATCTCCATCTCCCCCAATCAGCAAAGTCCCTTTTCTTTCACATCTAAGGACTATAATCCAGAGCTAATGATATGGGTAGAAGTGTTCATGCCTTTGTGAGCCAAGGTTCCTAATGCAGTATTTACATACATTTTTCTTTAAGCTTTCACCTGCCACTTTGATGAATTACCCAGCAAAAGGCTCTAAGGTGAACTAGCTGCTCCACCAGCATGCTTGGGAAAGCAAGATGAAGTGCTAATGAGGTTAAAGGAAATGGAGTCAGCACCAATGTTAACTCACACAGGTTTGAATATCCACACAGCAAGGCATTTTCACCCATACAATCTCTGCTGGTTTCTGGCCTATTGAGCTACAACATCCCTGTTTCTTTTAAAAAAGCCTGCCATAGAATCCATCAACTGTTGGGAAACAAGGGCAACCATCAGCTGAGCTGGGGAAACTTGGGGAGGAGGGCTGAGGCTACAGAATAAACATTAACACCTCCCAGAACATCTGTCCCAGATCATGTTTGAAAAATGTTCCTACTGGTGAACAGCCTTTTAGATGAGACATTCAGGTATTGCCTGGCTCCTTCTTGAATGATGCATGGGGGCTGAGCCCCTGCAGCTGCTCCAGGCAACTCATTTTCAGTCACCTCGCTCAGATTCTTTCACTTGGAGGCTACAAAACTCACACCTCAAAACTGTCAGAGGAATTCACAGCCAACAGCCACGACATTCTCACACCAGCTGTTTATAATGCTTTGACAATATTGAAAACAAGGGGGGGAAAAAAGCTATAGGCTGTAATACCCACAGCACTGGGAGGCACCAGGAATGTCATGTATTTAAGCAATAATAATGGAGGCACAAGGCAGTTCTCTGGGATTGATGACCAGCTGGGAAAAGTTGATGGCCTGAGAATAACCAGGGGCCATTAAGCCAAAAGAACATTAACTCCACAGAAAGCGCTCTGTTACAGTAATTATTACAGTGATATTTTGGAAAAAAAGCAAACAGGAAAAAAAAAAGCGCAAACCCACGACATACACGAGTTTTATTTCAGGAGCCTGGCTTCAAAATGCCCAGAGAAGGGACAGGGTGAGAGGTAGGTGAGTTTTATAGCAACTGTATTAATACAGTACCTGTATGAAGTACCTTGAAGTGTGGGTACCTGAACCACAGGTACAGCACCCTGTGTGACACAGCAGAGCTACTTCTGCAACACAAGTCAGGGCACTCAGACAGGGAAGGAGCCAAGTATTGGCCAAAACAGTTGCCCAAATCACCTCTCAGTTCCAGTCACCTCCAGACTCATATGGAGAGAGCTCACAGTGCAAGAGCCCCAGGAGATGGGGAAAATCAGAGGGTGCTTTTCCAAGATAGAAGGGCTATCCCAAGGGAATAAAGGAACAGGTGAATATTGTTATGGATAAACCCCATAACAGCACCTTAGTGGCCACAACAAACCAGTGCAACCCTGCCCTGCTACAAGTGCCACAGGCCAAGCTGACTCCTGGCAACTTCCACTTCCATGGATTATAGCCCAGGAAGTGCTGCTGCTCTTTCACATATGCCTGATTTGGTTAAAATCCACAAACACACAAACAAAACCAAAAAACAATGCCATAGTTGTTTCTGTATTTTCCAATTTGAGGCAATTTGCACTGTTATTGACTTTAAAATCTATGTTGCCCAATGATAGAAAAATGTTATTTTCAGACACTTTAGTGCTCAAGTGCTTGAAAAGGATCAATGGGAAAATGTTATTCCTGATTCAAAACATGTTGCTCTCAGATATAATTATTTTCTTTGTGATGAAATCAAATGATAATTTTTTTTTTTCCTTATAGAAGTCTTTTGATTTAGAAGATTTAGAAAAAAAGACAATTCTCTCCAGTAAAACCAGGAACACTGGAAAACCCGCTTTTTCCTATACTATTTAATAACCTACTTTCAAGACCCCTGGGTTCAGATCACCCCATTACCAGTAGTATAAAAGTTTCCTTTCTATAAATAAAAAATAGAGTATTTTATCTTGGCAATGATGATCTCTCCAACAACAACAACAACCAAATCAAACCAAACAAGCAAAAAAAAACCCCCCAAACCCAAAAACCCAAACTAAAACAAGAAAAAAAGACCTGGAGAGAGGAACAGCTCATTACTGAGTTCAGCAGAAAGAGACCACCTGTCAGCTCAAGAACATGAGCACTCCTCACAGATACATCTGGAAATATTATAGATGACTTTGAAGTGTATTGGGAGAGAGCAAGAGAGACCAGGAAAGGTTAAAGAACACCCAAGTTTTGGATGGATGACCTTTAACTGAGCGTTTGAGACTGAAAGTGCGAAATGTTTCTCTTGCACTGCAACACCTCTGCAGCACGTTGTGAGCCAGCACCAGCACACCTGCCTTTTGTCTGAGCTGGGATGAAAAGCTGTGGGGCAGCTCCTCTCTGCATCAACTACCTGAACTAACAGCCTCTCCTGCAAGAGCTCCCAAAGTGAGACAGTAAAACCAGGAAAGCAAATCTGTTTCTGTTTTCAACTGAATTAATTCACTATAGAGCTATATTAATGGTTGGAAAAGGACACATAAACGCTGTAAGAGACAGTCTTAGTGGTTCAGGAGAAGCAACCTTACTCGAGAGCAGCCTAGCTTTTCTCTTTTCGTTACAAAGCAGGTGGTGGGCAAGAGTTTCATGGCTCCCCTCCCTGGTGCCCATTGTGCCTGGCCTGAGCACAACAGCTTGAGACACTCACTGTATGTTACCCCAGTATTTGCTTTTTACATTCCTTGCCTTGTGCAAGGAACTGAATCAACATCTCACACATGATGTTAATGAACTCCCAGTTCACCCCACGTTCAATGCAATTTATTACTTATGGCCTGTTCTTGATTGCTGGGTCAGCAGCCACCAGCAACAACACTAAATAATTAAGTCTTGGCCAGTAATACAGTATTTTGTCCTGGCAGCTTCAGCTCTTTTACTTTCTGGTAGCTTTGAGCAGCTCTGAGGTTCCTCACAGCTGCTGGCTTGGGACCACTGCTCCCCTGGGCTGGCTGCTCCTTCCCAGTGCTCCTCTCCCAGCAGCTTCGAGGACAATCCCCCTATCCCACCAGCCACCCCAACCCCTACAGGAGCTCCAGCCTGTTGCTGGCACAGCACAAACAGCTCTTGTGGGTCCCTGTGTGTCACCAGCACTGCTCCAGGTGGA